GGGAATGAGGTATTCACCTGTTTTTCTGTCCGCCCACGTCAGGCTCATGAAGGATGGGCTGCTGGACCTGTGCGCACTCATCAGGGGGAGACAGCTGGCTAATCAGGGCCTGATCCATAGACCTCGAGTATAGCCAAATTTATTATTGTGGCAGGACAATGAGGGCACACTTGTGCAATTACAGACCCAACCAATATTGGCTAGAATTTATTGGAAAAAAAACAAACAACAAGTAATGCAAACAGGCAGTTTTTAAGAAAATAAATGAGCAACTGCAGCTTTGTCAGATGCAAATTAACATATGAGCCAGGGGTTGATTTTTTTTATTTATTTATTTTTATACCTTGAAAAACTGATTAGTTGCACATATTCTTCATATTTATTTTTAATGACTTGTTTTAGATTTATTAAGTTAAATTCCCAATCTCGTATTTAAGTCTTGTCAGGTTTTATACAATTTTCTTCAAGACACTTATTAGTGCTTCAAGTGCTTCTTATTTGATTTGGCTTTAGTCTGGTTTTTAAATGAAATGTCAAATTCTGAGTTATTATTTTCAGTTTATTTTATAAATGAGTAAGGTATTATCTGTCAGTTATGTTAGACATAAAAACCTTCTAATACTGCAGATCGTCGTAAATGCCCCAGTTTACTCTCTTACCATGTTCAATGGGAAGCTGCAAAAATACCAACAATGGCACCCGATTGCAGCATTAGTCCTACAAAGCACTACATTTGCGAAACCTACATTAATACACCTTTTTTTTGGCAACATTTTGCATGTAAACCCATCTATTGGCTAAAATTCAAAATTTTCAGCAAAAAAGGGTTTTCTCTTTAAAAATTAACAGTAAAAAGTAGTTTTGGTTGCTCTATAAATTTCATCAGATCATTCGGATCTAGTCAGTAATCAGTTGAATTGAGTTCAAACATTTTTTTGCCGAGCTTGTTGTATCAAAAAAGTTTCACATGCACTCTTGAGAACCTTCTCCATCATCCCTCTGCTGGCTTGACTGACTCTCCTCCTGAATGTGTTGGCCTTCGTGTCTTGGCACCTTGGCACATGTCTCACTATTGGCTTTCCATTGGCTACATTAGCAGGGACAGATAGAACTGGAGTGTCTTGAAGGAGGCGTCCTGTTGAATGTCTTCCCACCCTCTCCTTTTCTCTGGGACCCTCTGCGGGCCCTCCCTGTGTTCCCTGCCCAGCCCCCGCCAGGGGAGAGAGCAGAACAGGAAGGGCCCGATAGCCAGCCAGACCTCTCCTCTGCCGAAGGAGCCTTATCTCAGACCTGCACACAGTGCACTGAGCGCATCCTTTTCCTGGGGTTCTGGGTCTGGGAGGGCGAGGAGGAGGAGGAGTAGACACGGCTGGATATAGGTGTGTTCTCCAACCCTCCACTCGTCAACCCCACTGTCTTTTTCCACTCATTCTCCTCTTGTTCCAGCAATTATGTAAACAGATTTTTAGTACGTTTTTTTTGAGATGTAGATGGGAGTTTCAAATTCTTTAAAAGTGCATCAACAACTAAGCTGTGTAAATACGATACAGGTGTGTCATTACAATGTTTGCACAGAAGAAACGGCACAAGAAGAGAAGAAGACGTGACTGATTGATCTACTCATATTTTGTTTATGTCTGAATACCCAAAGCAACTAACTACCTCAAATAACAACTTCAAATCAAATACTTTTGATGGTACACTGATTTGTAATAGGTAGTAAAGTGTCTGTTTTATTCCCAGTCTTTTCTTGCACTGTTACTTTAGTGAGTATGAATGATCAACCATAATAAGTGCATAACTTAACAAGTAAAGTCAAACTGTACGTCAGTTAAAAATATTTAGAGTAGTTAAAAAAGAGCATTTATCTCTAACATTAGGAGAGGAAACGTTAATATTCACCACACAGTTTGGCACGTTTGATACAGAGACAACACTTCCATCATTCGGTCGTATTACAGCTTAGTGGGTGGGACAAAGTAGTCAACGTTCTGATCAAGCAATTGCTTTGCTTTCCTAAATGAAAACTGCTTAACCTCCTGTACTCAGAGCCCTGTGTTTATTCTGCAGGAGGTTAAAGTCAGTATTACTTTCCAAACTCTTAAACCATTTTCTTATGTAAATATTGTGTTATGAAGCTTATAATGCTAATTTCTTCCGACTCTTATCTACTGCATTCAACATGCAATGGCTTGTAGTCAGTTAACGCCAACAGTAATAGTGACTGATAATAACAGGCTGCAGAAAACAAAACACACACACAAACACACCCACACCTCTTTGGAAATCAAGAAACAAGATCTGAAGCATTACTGCTGAGTTGTTTCTTAGTGACACGTTGCCCTCGGCACTTGCCAAACAAAACTCTCCAGGGTTGCGAGTAATACTGACTGGATCTGTAGCTTTCTATCCACACTGCATGTGTGTGACCAGCCTGTGCTCAGCACAGCACTTTACCTCTGCCGGATCAGAGTCTAATGGAGATCCCCAGGCAGTGAGGATGAGCCACATACCAAGTTCCAGCCACTTTCCCCAAATGAAGAAGATGTTTCTCTCTCAGTCACTTTCCTCTCATTCACCCTCTGCCTCTCCTGAGAGTAATTTCACAGGCAGCTCTAAAGTGGCCCCCGGCCATCTTCCCAAATCCCAGTTACATGTTGTTTGGCGCGGTCAGCTCTAAGCCCCATCGCCACTTTCCCTAGCAGAGTGGATGCCATTGTGCCGTAACAGGGAGTATAGATTTTCTCTGGGAAGTTGGAGAGTTTTGTTTAATGGCACCGCACCTGAAGGGCCTCGTCCCCCTTGTTAGAAGTTGAGGTACTTTCTAAAGAAAACTTAGTTGTGTCCTTCATAACAGTGTGAGGCTTCTGAATCTATCTGCTTTATATATGTTATCATGTCATGTAATCAGTCAAATCAGTTCAAGTCTTTTTCTTTATATTTCTTGTGTAAATTAAAGCTCAAAGAAAGATAATTTATGCCTTTTATATTGCAGAACAACCTTTTTTTTAAAGATCATATTAATCAATATATTATCCAGCAAAAACAATGGTTAATTTCCTTATGGAAATGTATTGACTTCTAGTGGGTTAAGACAAATGGCTTCTATGAAACAAGGTTTCAGGGATGTCCCTGGCGACTTCTTTTTATAAGAATTTTTTTTATCAGACAAAATCCAATGAAGTGTCCTGAAAGCCCTGGTGGAGGCATAAAGCAAAAATCTCTATTTAAGTCTGTTTGTGTCCCACAAGACATGTTCAGATCTACATCTACAGATCCACATTGTTTTCCCCATCCATCAGTCAGCTTGTCAATCTCAATCAGCGCTGAGGGTCAAAGTAGTGTAATCTGCTATGTAAAAGTTCAAAGGCCAAACCACCGGGTGACTTCGACACGACAGCATTTTTCAATTTATCTCTCTCAATTGTATAGTTTGAAAAATGCCATCCACTTGGTCATCTTGGTAATACACAGAGCAGCCGCATTGTTTAGTGCGATTCTCAGGAGGAGCCTCTGTATTCTTCTGGACGAATCATTATGCATTGAGTAGGCCATTAGGAAAATGAAGACGAATGGGTCGCAGGGGCGACGTGACAAATTGTTCCTGCTGTAGAGTTAAAATCTGGATCATGTTCTGCTTCATAGTTGTAAAGTTGGTCTTGTTAAATGTGGAGCCTAAAGGTCGGAGAGATGATTTGGGCAACAGACAACTCACGTCCCCAGGTTGGACACATTTTAACCAAAGGACTGAGCAGAGCCTTTTTCTCTTTTCAACCTTTACTGTCAGCGTAGCGATCGCCTCCAGACTGTAGAGCTTCCACTTTTAAAACAGCATAGACTATTTTCCCCAAAACAAAGGTGAAAAAGTGACATTGCACAATCAAGTCACGTTATCTGGGGAGAGATCTCATGATGACACATGCTTTCAGACATGCACTGAAGTCAGAATATTTTCCTGCAATTATCCAGAGAGGCTGTACATGAGAACGCGAATGTCCAAATCAGTTTTTCCTGCCAGCCACCTAGTAGAAATGGCCAGGGGAATGTCCGACTGAGCCAATTTGAGAATGGGGCAGGAAAATATCCAGATTATTCACAGCAAGCCAGAGGTTGTGTTGATGTTTCTAACACATGACGGAGGCAAAACCTGAAAATGAAAAAATAAAAAATCAAGATTCAATATGTAAACAAGGTGTCGCTCAGGTAGAAGATTAGGAAAGACGTCGAGATTGAAGAGCTTTTGATTATAAGAGCTGACGCCGGTGTCAAATGTGCGATTTCCGCAGCAGGATTTATATGTTCATGCATGCTCTACCCAGACGCCACCCTTCGCCTATAAAATATAGTGTATATAAAACTGCCAACACTGTAAAATAGAATTATTAAAAAAGAAACTGCAAAATAAACATTGAAAGAAAATAAACTTAAAAACTCCTATTTGATATTTATTGTAGAAATGTTGGGAGTGACTAGTCTGTTTGTGTTTAACAACCAGGTTGCAGATTTTGTGTACAGACTGTGTTAATGGAGAATATTTTATAGGATTCAGTAATTTGCTGATTCCGATCTACGTAAGAGTGAGTGAAGCTGAAAACTGGCTCGTACCTGTTTTTTCATACTCCATAACAGACAAATATATATATTTTCATTCAGATGGGAAAGTCTCAGCTGTAGCTTTCTTTACTATTGAGGAGCAGTTACAGACGGACGCCACTTAAGATATTAATGTGCGAGGACACAGCTGCATGTGTAGGACTCTTCAGCGCTGCAAGAATAAGATGAGAAATGTCTTTGATGCTTATTTTAAGTCGATCCTTTTAACACCCTTTGTTACAGTAACATCCTTTTTCTCTTTTCACTCACTGGTTTGTCTTTTTTGTGTTGATTGACGATCACTTAAGCTTCTGGGCGAACCATTGTGTGCTGTCTATTTCTGTGTAGATTCTCTAGATGCTGCATTAAATCCTAACTCTGTATTGTCATCTGTGTCTTTGGTGTAGGAGAGCAACAGCAGTGATTCTCAGGGAGAGACGGAGGAGAAGGTGACTCCTGCTGCTACCGAACTGGATACGGAGTCCATCGCCAACACTGTGACCAGCACTCTCACTATGCAGGAGTACTTTGCGCAGCGAATGGCTCAGCTGAAGAAGGCTCGGGGACAGGACCCAAGTGCAACATCCAGGGCGGACGCAGAGACCAGCGAGACGTCAACTCCATCCGAGGAACCCATCCACAGTACTAACAATGATACGGAGGAGCCTAGGAAGAAAAAGAAGAAGAAAAAGAAAAAGGCTATGAATGAGTTGGAAGTGGTAGAAGACAATTGTAGTTCTCCCATTGTAGTGGAAGAGGACGAGAACCAAGAGCAGGAACGTTTAAAGAAAAAGACGAAGAAAAAGAGGAAAATGGCAGAAAACAAAGAAACTACAGATGAGAACTGCAGCTCCACCTCTGGTGTGGAGCAGAACTTTGAGGAGCAGAACTGTGAGGAGCGGCCTCCCTCCAAAAAGAAAAAGCTTAAAAAGCACAAAAAGGAAACCGAGCTATTAAACGGCCACGAGCCATCTGAGGATCAAACTGTAAAATCAGAGGTTGTTCCAAAAAAGAAAAACAGAGAGGAGGAGGAGGGCGATGTTGTAGTGGTAGAGGAGAAGAAACCCAAAAAAAACAAGAAAAAGAAGAAGAAACGCCAAGAATAGGTGGAGTCAGGGGTATGGATTAGTAGTCTCCAAACTCATACTTATGGAAATGTCTTATGATCTAATCGAAACTAAAAACTTGTTTAATTTAAACCAACATGAAGAAAAAAGGTTTGATATTTGATCCCAATACCCAGTAAAGCCACTAAGTTGTACTGGTGGACACACCATGGCAGTGCCTTTCTCATCTGTCACAGAAAACAAGCCTCTAAAATGTTGAACTATCCCTTAAATTTTCAACAAGCCTATTTCTGTAATGTAATGTCTAAACTATATTAATAGAGAGACTGACAGATATTTAACAGTCTTTAAAACTAGAATGGCACCCGGTAGAACCTCTGTCAAGGCCGAACAATCTTAAAGTTAAGAAAATTCCGGATCAGCCCTTTAATCCAAATTCACACCAAAATTGAATTGGTTACTTTCAGGTGCAGGTCCCAACCCTCCACCAAGTTTTGTAGAAATTGGTCTAGTAGATTTTACATAATCCCGCAGACAATTTTATAAAAATCTGTGATACGTCATCTGAATAAACTAAAATTTCTAATATTCTACCAACTGTTCTTCCATCTTTCTTTTCTTTTTTTGCCAGCATGTTTTTATGTCTTTGTCAATTTCTTGAATCAAGAGATATCTCTTCATATTGTTAAAGCAACACAGTGAGTTTTCAGCTTTGGTAAAAACTGAAGCAGAAGCACATTGAAATGAATATTTGATGTTATGTTATGAACAGATATAATGTGATGGTGCTTTGCCCTCTCATCAGATTCATGAACTGTAGGCAAATCCACTTTTAAATAAATCCAAATGATTGTAAATGTTTGATTTTTTCTCCCCCTCTACATGTAGATGTTCAAAGAATATGTAGAAGAAAAATACTTGAGCTGAGCAGGTGTAAATGTAATCTATACAAATTCCAAGTAGGCCCACATACTGTATATCAATGTATCCGGCTTTCACAACAATCACCATTTCAACTTCAGTGTGGTTGAGGTTATGAAATGTTTGACTTGACAAACTCTAACAACCAGTCATGTTCAGCAGCGACAGTGGCTGGTGTGAGTCAAAAGGAAACTATAGCCATCCAGTCTTGCACATTTGAAACAGCACAACATTCCTCTTTGCTATTTGGGGTTTTCTCAGTGACAATAACATGGGGGGATTAGACCGGTTCATTCGTCATCGTGTGACGACAATGGAATCTGACTGTCACTGTATGCATCTCACGTGTGAAGCTGGTTTTCCGTCTTGGTATACACTATAGTCAGCCGGAGATAACTAACCATCAAATAATCGCTGGACTCATTAGTCCATGCTTTGTTTTTATTTATCCTATATTTTAATGGGAAGGTCCTATGGATATACAATATCTCTTTTACAATCAAGTGAAAGAGTTTCAAATATAACAAGCAGGGACAAATAACCCACAAAACACTAATACACAGCAAACCTTTAAAACAACAACCGTGCATAGAAACAAAGGAATCTGTAGCTAAAATAAATTATGAAATGAAAAGCACATGTCAAACCCACTGAAACTGTTCTATGAAAACTGATATTTAAAGATTTTAAACTTGCCAAGAAAGAGTAAAGATTTTTAGTTAATTTTAAGTTTCTGTATTTATGACTGTGAGAATATTCTCCGATGATCATGTATTGGTACGAAGTGACTACAGAATAGATAAATATTGTGTTGCCCAGTAAAGGTTTTGCAACAGTTGGGGGGGTTCTTCTTAGAAGCAGTGATGTGCTTTGAACCATTTCATGTAAAAGACAGTGACGTTGCCGGTAACAAACCATAAGATCAACACAATGAACGAAAGCATCCACATTGTTTTCAACGGAGATTGAGAAGAAAAAGATGTAGACGATGGATTAGATATTTCTAATGAACATATATTTACTGCAGTTAAATGGCTTGAGAATCTCCACCTTTATATTTTGCTAAAATAAAGTGCATTGATCAATCAATCCTTTTAAAATCACAACTACCACTGCCATTTACTGACTCACTTTTATTTTGAAAACTATGTCGACAGAATAAAGTTATCCTAAAAAAAGGAACGTTTTTCTAAATGCTTGTGAAATTTCTCTTCATACAGCATGCAGATGAAGATCACCCTCCTCTTCAAAACTCCAGTAGCCACATGTCTTCTAGACTGAAAAGCTGAATAACAGCAGGCAGATACAACTCACACCCACACAGTGATTAACACATACAGGCACTAGTCACTTCAGAACCCCCCAACACTGAGCTGCAATGTGTTTGACTCCAAATTGTAAATACCATGTGAAACTCACACATATTTTCAGTCTGCTGTCTGACTGACTTTTCTGCTCACTCCTCTTGTTATGCTGACTTTCACTGACGGCTCATCGCCCGATGGCCCACGTCAGACCCAGCAAGAGGAAGTGCAGCCCTATATATCACTGATGTGGCTGCTCCACGCACAATCTGTGGCTTCAGGTGCCGTATCCTCTTCCTGTGGGGGGGCAAGTCTCACACAAAGCTGGAGCTGACACTTCAGTTTGATGGGTGCTGGAGGCACAAGTGACCAAAGATGTGTATTACAGCCCAGATGCATGATGGTGGTGGAATAAGTGGGAAAAGTGATTAGAAGCAAGGGTTGGAGCATGTGTGTGTGCAAAAGAGAGAAAGAGACTGAGTGTGTGTGAGCTACTTCATGGCTACAGCCCAAGAGTATCCTGTCAACAGGAACTCCTGGGTTTGATATGGCCACAGAAGGAAACTGATTTGTTTGTAGTGAGTGTTCAGTTTTATCTCTTCTCTCACCGGAGCTGTGTTCCAGAAATTGATCTGCACCCAAACTGTTAAATACAGAAGCCATTTTGGTTCTCTGACGTGTTTTTTCATTGAATGAAAGAAAGAGTTGAGGCTTAAAATGCCTGAAAAAAGTGTTTTAACAGGAATGGGAGTGTTATTGCTTGTTTGTGGAGACCATGACACACTTGTGAGTGAGAACCTGGAAATGTGCAGTCACTGAGTGCACTGCAGAACAGGTTGGATAAGTTGTCAGATGAAGTTTCCTGTTGACAAGGAGACTGAAATTAAGTTGCAGATTTCCTCTGTGTCACCACAAGAGCTTAACTTTATTTAGCAAAAGATTTCTATGTTTTCTTGTTTGACAAACTTTGATTCAATTATGTTTAATGTTTTTAATAAAAAGTAATTGATGTTTGACAGCTCTAAAAGAATCATGAACTGCTCTGGATTATGATGTTTGGTTGTAGTTGATCTGAGAGTGTTGCTTTGTTGTGGGGTCAGTTTTAGTAGTTAGTGTTGAAATTTCTCTCCCTCCCCTCTCTCTCTCTCTCTCTCTCCTCTCTCTCTCCTCTCTTCTCTTTCACGGGGCTCAACTTGCAATCAAGGAGGAGCTGAGAGTCCTCCGGGGTTTCTCCTGGAACCTGCTCCTCAAATATAAAGCGCTCCCCCCGCATCCACCAGGAACGACTGAAGCATTACGCACAAGGAGGAGCCGCTGCCTGAGCCCGTCTCTGCTGCAACCTGCACAAAAACCCATCTGACTGCAGCCTGTAGCTCCAGTGAGTCAAACACCGCTGGATTTTATTTTAAAAAGCTGTGTGAGTAGTTTTCCAGATTTTTTAAATCCGAGCTCAGAGAGGGAATCACAACTTGTCCAACAGAAAAGTGCGAGGCGCATCCTAAAAGTTTTTGGATAGCGCAGATGGCAGCCCTCATCAGCGCGTACTCGTCGTGGCCGGAGTCCTTCGAGTGTCCTCCAGGAGATGGGGACGTGCCCGACGCGCATGGCCCGCACAGGACCCCCGCGGACAAGGCGCCGGAGCCGCGGATCAGACGGCCCATGAACGCGTTCATGGTGTGGGCCAAAGATGAGCGCAAACGGCTGGCGGTTCAAAACCCGGACCTGCACAACGCCGAGCTCAGCAAGATGTTGGGTGAGTATTATTATTATTAATATTATCATCATTATCATTATTATTATTATTATTATTATTATTATTATTGTTGCAGCCGCTGCTTTCCATGCTCATACTTGAAAATTACCATCAGGCCTCGGTTGTTTTACAAAAGTTTTTAAGTTAAGTTTCCGACGCCTAAATGCAAAATTAAATTAAAGCAAACCTCTTAAATGATAAATAAAAAGAAAACATCGGAAACAAAGCTTTTACTTGCTGCTGGAATTAGTTCACAGCCTTAAAAATCCCTTGAATTTAAAAGTTAATGCCACCGCAGCGTGAAATTCGTTAAGGTCTCAGTTTTAGGCGACAGAGAAGAGAATAAAATGAATTTGTCTTGTGTTGAATTTGATTCGGGTTTATTGTTATGTTCTAAATCTGGCATTTGCGCAAATCGGAAATCATCTTTAGCCTGAGCCAGGAAAACATGACATGGAATGAAAGTTCACGCGTAAAAAAAAAAAAACTATCTGTGATCATCTTGGGATTATCAAGTTATAAAAAATGTTTTGATTAAGACCATGTTTTCGTTTTTCTATCCTATTTGGTAATAATTCCCAAAAAGTTTATAAGTTTAGATTTTTTTGTAAAGTCCGTTTTAAAGTAATAGGAGATCTTTGTCATCCCACCTTTATTCATATTAATAAGTATGAGGCAAAAACATTATTTGTAATATTCTATTTTACGATTTATATAAATTATTAGACTGATAATTTTTTGTATTCATTTTAATATTGAGTTATTACTGAAAATAATTTTACTAGTATTTTCAATAAAGTAGTAGACTGCTTTATGAAATTGCATTCATTTGTTGAATCATATTCAGGATTTTTAGCTCAAATAAAAAATATATATATCTGTCTCCTCTCTTTCCAGGCAAGTCTTGGAAGGCCCTGACTCCCCCGCAGAAGAGGCCCTACGTGGAGGAGGCAGAGAGGCTCCGGGTGCAGCACATGCAGGACTACCCCAACTACAAGTATCGGCCTCGCCGGAAGAAGCAGCTGAAACGCATCTGCAAGCGGGTGGACCCCGGCTTCCTACTGAGTGGGCTGGCTCCCGATCAGAATGCCCTGCCCGACCAGCGAGCCCTCTGTCACCCCCTCGACAAAGATGAGGGCAGCCCTAATCACGGCTTCTCCATCCCCAGCCCTAGTCTGCCCAGCGTCAGAAGCTTCAGAGACCCTGCCGGGTCAAACAGTAGCTTCGACACCTACCCATATGGCCTGCCCACTCCTCCAGAGATGTCCCCCTTGGATGCCATGGACCACGAGCATGTACCCCCCTCTTATTACTCAACTTCTGGTAGCTCCTCTGTCTCCTGCTCCTCTTCAGCCTCCTGTCCTGATGAGCATCATCACAATCAGACACACATGGGCAGCCCACCCCCTTACCACACCGACTACTCTCAGACCCAGATCCACTGTGGAGGCCCACGCATAGGTCACATCCCTCACCTGTCCCAGACTGGAGGCGGCAGTGGACTGATCCAGGGCCCTCCACTGTCTTACTACAGCACCTCATCTTTCCCCCAGCTTCACCACGGGCTCCACCAGGGCCATCTGGGTCAGCTGTCCCCACCACCAGAGACACAGGGCCACCTGGAGACTCTGGACCAGCTGAGCCAGGCCGAGCTTCTGGGAGAGGTGGACCGCAATGAGTTTGACCAGTACCTGAACTCCACTGGGCCTGGGTTCCACCCTGAGCAGGGCGGCAGCATGACTCTTACGGGACATATTCAGGTGGCGTCGGCTGCTTCCGTTTCTGCCTGTCCCAGTAGCACCGCAGAAACCAGTCTCATTTCTGTGCTGGCAGACGCAACAGCGGCCTACTACAACAACTATGGCATCTCGTAAG